TATCAGAGCCTGATTAATAGGTTTATAAGCATAAGAATAAGAAGATTCCCAAAACTGTAATGTCAGTGATTGCCAGCCAATTATTAGCCAAATGCCCAAATTGTCTAGCGTCTTCTCGTATGTGTAGTTATATTAGTTTCAAAGAAACGGAAATATGTAAAATCCAGAACCTACTGAAATATCCGTAACATTAAAAATCTCACCGCATTTCGGATTATCGGGTGAACCCTTCATGAAAAGCATCAAACGATGGGATTCAATGAGCCTTTTCAAGCGAGTATTCAAATCCTGTAAAAGAAATCATAACTTTTGATATCATGACGACTGATATAAATAATCCACTAATGTTTATTGAAAAAAAATATGTGAGTACCACGGGAGACGGGCAAGAGAATCGTAAAATACCGTTTCGTCGCGCGCGGCAGTGGGCGCGACGTTTTCTCAATTTGCACTGCTCTTTTGATTGCAGTATCGCGTTCCATGTAGACACTTAGGTCTATTTTTGGTCATACGGTATCTATTCTCCACCAATGCCACTAAAATCGCCGTCATTAGCAGCCGCGACGTCGTACGCGACGCCCACTCGTGCGGCAAATTACGTTCTCTTGCCACTTACCATATTACCACAACTCTACTGCCCATTCTAAATTTTTTTAAACCTCCCAGCACATTTCCGAGGTGCCAGAATCAAATTTCCATTTTCGAAAAAGGAACGTGTGCACAGTACCTCCTTGGGTTTCGGCTGCGAATCAAGGGGAGCTGCAGCAATATCGAAAGAATGTTTTGTGAGCTTCATCTCGAATTCGCTCGGCTTGTACCCATTGACACGATCAACTTCTTTTCCATCCTAATTAAGACTGTGATTAGACACGACCCTATAAATCACTATAAACAGTACGGATGAAAAAAGTCTTACTTTGAAATACACCACCGTTGGAGCGGCAGCAATTGAGTACATTGCGGAAACTTCTGCTACACCCTCTGCATCGATAAAGGAAAAACCCACTGAAGGAATCGACTTGGTGTCCTCCTAGAGAACGAGACAATCATTGAGTAAGCGTAATTTTCGAGAAGAAGAACAACACCTCCAAATCCTTCAGCACTTTATTCACTTGTTCACAAGAAGCCGCCCATGAAGCGTAGAAGTGCACTATAGACAAACTAAATGAGCAGGTACTTAGGTTCAGCTCAAAGGCAATAATGATACCTGAAGAGAGAATAGGCCAAATTCCACTAAGGTAAGAAAGCTACAGCGAGTCTGAGTTTAAAGCCAGCACGAATATTTAGTCTTTTGGGACCAGGATGCCGTGTCTGCGACAAACATTTCGCCATATCTTAATGGCACACCGCGCCCAAAGATGGTCAGTTGCGCGGCTTGAATATTAATGACAAGATAAATAGCACAAAAAGGAAGGAAAAAGCAGAAAGAACCGGATCGAAATGCCTCATAGGCAACCCAAAGTCGAGCCGCACTTCAGTTTGAACGCGCAGAAGAAAGGGAGTATCGGACGAG